CCCACAATGCACCGTGATGTGATCGTAATATATGATGCGACAACAGCATGTCTTTCTCACTCCTAAAGCGCAAAATTGACAATGAAAACTGTCAGTTTAACCCTGCCTGGACTGACAAATACTTATTCATTTTACCGAGTTTAATAATCTTACAACCGGAGTTGTACTACCATGGTGAGGGTCCTGTACAGCCCAAGAGAGAGCTGCAGCATCTTCCCTTCGTGTTTGCTTCTTGGCGATGAAGAAAAGGCCTTTCACAGATTCTGAAACAATGAAGTACTGCATGCTGGCCGTGGTGGATGCGGTGAAAAGTGAGTGTGACATCTGCTATTAAAAACGTACCCCTGTAGGACAGTTCAAATATTCGTAGAATTGAAGTTCTGGCGTCAGACGAGTTTGAAATGCTGTTAGATGACCTGAAGAAAACTGATGTAATGTCTATATCTTGTGTTCAAGATGGCGCTGGAGTGACGGCAGCCTTTCCAAGTAGCTCTGCAACACCGCACCTTTTTGTTAACTTTAACTTTTTAGACTAGGCTTTTCAAACTTTTTTTCACCTTCCTCTACTTATACCTCTTAGATATAGCGATACAAGATGGATAATGCACTTTTTAAAACTTCTGGAACCAGTTCCTTCATCTATTCGAGAGCGGAGCTGCTGGCACTAAAAACAAAGGGACAGACCGGCATGCGACACAACATCCGGCCGAGCTAAAGAGGAGCTACAGAGGCTGCAAAGCTGGAGCGAGGAGAGCGGATCACCGGAGGCGATTCAAACCATCAATCCCGACAGTGATCATGGGCAACGTGAACTCGTTACAGAATAAGATTGACGAATTGTGCGCTCTGAACAACCACAGACTATACTGTGAGTGCAGCTTGTTTATCTTCACGGAGACGTGGCTAACCGAGCTAACGCCGCAGGCTAACGTAGACCTATGCGGTTTCACACCCGTGAGAGCCGATAGGGACACGCAGGCCAGCGGAAAAAGCAGAGGTGGGGGACTCATTGTCTACGTTAACAACAGATACTGTAACCCTGGACACGTCTCCGTTAAAGTTTCAGTATGCCGTCCGGACCTGGAGCTGCTAGCTGTTAGCTTGCGGCCATATTATCTACCTCGGGAGTTCAGTCATGTGATCTGTGTGTGTGTTTACATCCCTCCGAGGGCCGACGCAACAGCTGCCTGTGAGAAAATACACACAGTCACAGCAAGACTTCAGACACAAAACCCCGAGGCTTTCATTATTATATCTGGAGACTTTAACCATGCCACACTGGACTCTACTCTGGCTGCTTTTCACCAGTTTGTGAATTGTCCCACAAGAAGCAACAGGACAATTGACCTACTGTATGCTAATGTGAGAGATGCATACAGAGCCACCCCCCTCCCCCCACTAGGGAAGTCAGACCACAACCTGGTTTACCTACAGCCACAATACACACCCCTCGTCCAAAGGCAGCCGGTCACAACGCGCTCCATCCGGAGATGGACCCCAGAAAAGGAGGATGCTCTGAGGGACTGTTATGACACCACAGACTGGGATGTGCTCCTGAGCCCACATGGTGAGGACATAGAGGGGGCGACACACTGTCTTACAGACTACCTCAACTTTTGTGTGGACACGGTCGCCCCTGCTAAGACGGTACGGTGTTATCCTAATAACAAACCGTGGGTAACACAGGAAGTCAAAGCTGTCCTCAACATGAAGAAGAAGGCTTTCAGGAGCAAAGTGAAGGAGGAGATGAAGGCAGCACAGCGGGAGGTGAAACGCTGCCTGAGGGAAGCAAAGGACACCTACAGGAGGAAGGTGGAGCAGAAGTTGGAGAGGAACAATATGAGGGAGGTCTGGAATGGTGTGAAAACCATCACAGGCCACAACACCAAGAAAAGCACAGTGGGGGGGACTGTGGAGAAGGCAAACGAACTCAACAACTTCTTCAACAGGTTTGACCAGCCCACAACCCCCCCACCCTCACCTTCACTACAGAGTCCAATCCCACTCTCCTACCTCCCTCGCTTCCCCCCCTTCCTGACACCATGACACCCCCCTCCTCCAATCCCTCTCTCAGCAGCAAGACATCTCCCCCCCTCCCCTCTTCCCAAACATCTCCCAGTGTCACAGTGGATCAGGTCAGGAGACAACTGAGGAAGCTTCGCCCCAGAAAGGCAGCAGGCCCAGACAAGGTGTGTCCTAGGATGCTAAAGGCGTGTGCTGCTGAACTTGGGGACCGCTACAACGAGTCTTCAACCTCAGTCTGCGACTGGGGAGAGTGCCCGCCCTATGGAAGACATCCTGCATCGTCCCGGTCCCCAAAAAGAACCGGCCCAATGAGCTGAATGACTTCCGACCGGTGGCACTGACGTCACATCTTATGAAGACTCTAGAGCGGCTCTTCCTCAACCTCCTCCGACCACAGGTACAACATGCCCAGGACCCACTACAGTTTGCATACAAGGCGGGTGTCGGAGTGGAGGATGCCATCCTGTACCTCCTACACAGAGCCCACTCACACCTGGATGGGGGAAAAGGCACGGTCAGGATCCTGTTTCTTGACTTTTCCAGTGCCTTTAATACCATCCGGCCCTGTATGCTTCAAGAAAAACTGAACAGGATGGAGGTGGACCCCTGCCTGGTGGCTTGGATCTCCGACTACCTCACCGACAGACCACAGTACGTCAGGCTGAAGGACATCACGTCTGACACAGTGGTCAGCAGCACAGGAGCACCACAGGGAACTGTGCTGTCCCCTCTTCTCTTCACCCTGTACACCTCTGACTTCTGCTACAATCTGAATTAATGCCACATTCAGAAGTTTGCAGACGACACAGCCATCATGGGGTGTATCTGGGATGATCAGGAAGAGGAGTACAGAAGTCTGGTGAGGAACTTTGTCGCATGGAGTCACACAAACCACCTGCAACTCAACACCTCAAAGACTAAGGAACTGGTTGTGGACTTCGGGAGGTCTAGAGCAGGTCCCCTGCCGGTTCAGATAGAGGGGGAGGAGGTGGAGGTGGTCAACAAGTACAAGTACCTCGGGCTGTGGGTGGACAATAAACTGGACTGGTCATGCAACACAGAGCACCTGTATAAAAAAGCCCAAAGCCGACTGTACTTCCTCAGGAGGCTGAGGTCTTTTAACATCTGCAGGAAGCTCCTGAGGATGTTTTACCAGTCGGTGGTTGCTGGAGTACTTTTCTATCTGTGGTGTGCTGGGGAGCAGCACAGCAAAGAAGGACTCATCAGCTGGAGAAACTGATCAGGAGGCTAGCTCTGTGTCGGCATGAAGCTGGACACTCTGGTGACAGTGGCAGAGAAAAGGACATTAAAGAAACTGATGGACATATGGACAATGCAGGCATCCTCTGCACACGGCCATAAACAATCAGAAGAGTCTGTTCAGTGACAGGTTGCTTCTCCCAAAGACAAGAACTAACAGACTTAAAAACTCCTTTGTCCCACACGCCATCAAACTGTTTAACTCCTCTCTGGAGGGGAGAGGAGGGGAAACAGGAGGACAAAGGAGGGAACAACTAAGCTTAGTGCCTCTTCACCTCACTGTGCAATACCTTTTGTGCAATACTTTGTAAATAGTCACGGTGCAATAGACTCAATACTTGAAATGTGCAATTCACTTGTATTTTTATTTTTATTCCTATTTATTCTATTTATCCCTTCGTATATTTTATTTATATTGTCTCTGTATTTATATATATGTGTGTGTGTATAACTCTGTAACTTCTGTCGGTGCTGTGCTTTTTTGGAAATCGAATTTCCCAGAGGAACCCACCCGAGGGATTAATAAAGTTCTATCTTATCTTATCTTATCTTATAGCAGGAGATCACAGATAGAACTGATAATGCAAGCTGTGCGTATATGTCCGTTTTTTGGATGGGAAATTGTTCGGTTTACTACCGTTAGAGGGACACACAGCTGGCGAAATGATGTTTGAGAAGATTTAAGCTCTTTTTGAGGAAAATGGTCTGGATATGAAGCGTGTCTGTATACTTGTGACGGATGGGGCTCCATCCATGGCAGGAAAAGTGAGTGGTCAGCAAAATATTTATTTTAATTTGAAAGGGAATTATCAAAATGTTTTTTGTTATTATTATTATGATTTCAAATGTGCAAAAAATAGTTTAGTTATAGCTCCCTTATTTTTAAATGGACCTTTTGGTGTGCATTTGTGAGGTCACCACCAGATTTACAGGGGAAAAGGAATAAAAAAATACTTTTTTCAATACAGTTGTGTGGGTTTGAAATTGATCATGATCTGCTGCTTACTGGCTTCAAAAAAAAAAAATCTGGCCCAGATAAATTCCTCGGTTTGAAAATCTGGCCCAACTAACTTCGTAGTTGAATAGCCATGCTTTAAGACCTACCATAGAACCAAGTCCGCCAGAGCTTATATTATTTTTTTTACATGCTGTGGAGCCATTTTTGGGAGCATTTCAAGTTGCTATACATCAATACAACCATTATAGCCCAAATTTTAATAATATGTATGCATTAAGTGCATAGTACTTATGTAGCACTTATGTGGAGTTACCTAAAGTACCAATGGATAATTACCAAAGTAATAAGCAATTTGGGCTAGTGTCAGAAGACTGAGAACGACTCTTAGAGCTCTGGTACACGAATGGCAGAGAAACCAGACAAAACAGTTATGTGGCTTTAAAAAGTACTTTAGTGATGTTAAGCCTTGTAAAAGAAATTTGTAAACAACACAGTATTACAACAGGTTTTAACAGAATGTCAAGTATAAAAATTTCCCCCAAAGTAGCAAAAAAAAAATAAATTAAATAAAATTGTGCACAAGTAAAAGAATTAGTCTTTTTAAGTCCAAATGGTACGGTGGGCCCATAGAATTCGTCTGACAAGGATGTGTGTGTGATTGTCTGTCTACCGTACTACTTGTACAGTAGAGGATTGTAGTCCATCAATGTGCAAATGAGTGTGCGTGTACATGTATATCGTCTCCTAGGACCTTGGGTTGGCTCGCCATCCAGTGAACACTGGAACACTCTGGGTTCTGGAATCGCTGACCTGGTCTTTGGATTCGTCCCATATAAAAACCTGACCTATAAACAATGGCCAAATATATGTCACATGCCCTTTAAGGATAACTCTCACAAATTAAACTAAAGTAGTGTCACAGTGCAGTAACTACTATTCAGATCAGCTATCATCAATTCAATCATCATCAGTTCAGTCATGTTGATCAACATTAAAATACAAGTTTCAAAGGTCAAAGTATCAATATCAAAATTTCACAGTATCAAGGTTCAATTATTTGTAACTGCAGTAACATTAAGTTATCTACAAGGTTTTAAACATTCAGGAATTATAGTCACCATATAATTCAACTTTCATTGTAAACTTAATTACATCGATCAAAAAACTCACTGTAATATATATATCTAATCACAAATAAATAAGTATATTACCCCTTTTAAGAAATGGAATAATATGCAAATGCTTATCAGAAATTGAACAAAGTGCAAATAATCAATTTCAATAACACGTAAACACAAGGACTCAGTCCAAAATAGGAGTATAAAAATAGACGTGCTTAATCCCGCTTGTACCATAGGCCCTACCAGTACAAGTGGAAATACACTAAAATTACCTCCAAGTGTTCAATACTGAGTATTGTAAAACAACTGATTGACATCAAAATTTAAACAGGAAGCAGGATAAAGTCTGATACAATATCTCTCATAAAGTATTTTTACTGCTTTAACCATTTACAGCTTTCACATGTTAATGACTTAGTTAACGATCTAACTAGCATAACAACAGCGTTTCAGAGACATCGAACAACTGTACCCACACTCCGCACATCACGTGTCGATTAGCCACATTTAGCTTACCGCCGTCGAGTGGATGCTCAGCATTTACATGGAGCCACAGCTCAGTAAACCCTCCGGTTTCGCTCTGCCTTGACAACAAAAGTGCAAATACATAATTGTGAAAAATATCAGTTTAGATGGTATTTCTTTAACCTTAGAGGTTAATTCTCCAGCTTACCGATAACAAAAGTTAGTCCGCTGCTCTGTTCGGCTGTAGAAGCAAGAGACTGAAAACTTGGGAGCTGGTACTAAGGAGGGACAAGAGCTGCCTAGAGCTTCACCGATTGGCTGACATGTGAGGAGTGGAGTAAAACAATAGGCTCTCATCAGAGCTCATCAACCCTCTGAGAAACTTAACCCTTGTTTGACCAGAGCATATCATATAATCTGCATCCTTCTATGTTAATAATTATTTGATCTCATTTCACTTTCATTAACCGGGACAGTAAGAACAGAACAATGAACATTAAATGTTTTAATTTTTCTTTCTTTCTGTTTGAGATGATTTTAGGAACTGGGTTACACCCTCCCCTCTTGAATTCATGCAAGTCCCTTTGCATGTCTACTGTGAACTGCATCATCCAAGAACAATAATTCAGCTTTAGAATTTAAAGAGTCAATGAAAGCTGTGGTTAAACCCTGAAATAATGATTTGACCACAGTGACAAGGGGATTTCCCAATTCAGCATAGTCTAGCCTTTTTGGTGGCTGGCGACTTCTTTCTGATCTTCGAACAGGAATTTCTTTGCTTGTTTGTTCATCTCTCTCTTTGTTTACTGTTTCCCTGTCAAATATCAAGTCCTCTCCTTCCTCATCACTCCCTAACATGTCCGAAAGAAGTAGGATTTGTTCATCCCTCATGTCAGGGCGATCCGTAGAAGGTAAGTCTCTTTCCTTTTCAGGTTGTCATTTCCGGGTAAGTCTCTTTCCTTTTCAGGTTCGTCATTTCCGGCTAAGTCTTCCCCATACAAGGCTTCTCCATAACTCGCAATCTGATTGTCATAAGGTTGGTTATGGTCAGCATGACTGGCTGGAACAACATCGGAGATGGTGTCTGCACAAGCTGGAGCATTACCAGCCAACTTGTCTTGATCTGCAGTCACATCATCTTGACCAAGACTTGATTTATGGGTCAGCAGAAGATCTCGCTTGACAATGTACGCCGAGTCATTTGGCACTGATCTATCTGCAAACCAGTGGACTGAAACAATATCATCCTCGTCCGAGGGGTGATCTGCTCTTTCATTGTCTTTCTGAGTGGTCCGTCGCGTTCTGGCCTTTTCTTGGGTTCTGGTTGTTCAGGTTTCACTTCCTTGGCTGCAGAGAGGAACCCACAAGGGAGTAAGAGGTCCTGTGTAGGGTGCGTATGGGGCCATCCCCGCCTCTGGTTAACGGTGTAGACAGGGAGGTCTCCAGCTCGTTCACCACCACATGACGGTCTGCTCCCATTTATCGGCGAGTTTGGTTTTCCTCGAATGCGTATGTTCCTGACCAGCACTCGGTCCCCGATTTCCAAGGTAGATATGGTACATGTTTGTCAAATCTGGTTTGTTCCTTTCGGCTACCTTTGCAGCACTCCGTGTAGCTATTCTATAGCTCTCTCAAGATGGGATTTGAGGTCCTTAACATATTGGGAGTGTGACTTGTTTTGTTGTTCTCTCACAGGTAAACGAAAGCCAAATCGACAGGCAACCGGTGGCTGACGCCCAACATCAGCTCATACGGTGTGAATCCATTACTCGTTCTTGGTACAGTTGTACGCATGAACTAAAGGCTTACAAAATCCTTCCAATGTACTTGTCCTTTGTTCTCCAGAGTTCCAAGCATACTTAAGAGTGTTCGGTTAAAACGCTCCACCGGGTTGCCCCTGGGGTGGTACGGGTAGTCCGAATCTTCTGTATGCCTGCTACTTACACAGCCCTTGATCAACTGAGACCAAATCAGGCCCTTGATCGCTGTGTATTTTCAGGAATGCCATAGTGTACTATGAAATGGTCCACAGACACTTTGCGACAGTCCGAGCTTTTTGGTTCGATTTTGGGATAGCGACTGCATATTTAGTAAAATGATCTGTGATGAAGAACATCTTTCACATTATGTGTCTGGTTCAATGGATAGGAAATCCATGCAGACTAGCTCGAGGGGTTTGTCGTCATGATATTCACCAAAGGTGCAGCCTTCTCGGTAACGTTTTCCCTGCGCACACACCTGTGGCAGGTCTTTAATCTTTTCTCCACATCTGAGGACATTCTTGGCCAATAGAACCTGGCTCTGACAGATCGAGTGTGCGTCTATTCCCATATGACCATATGTCATGTAGGCTGTCAACACAGACTCTCGCAGTCTCAGGTAAGACCAACTGGTAATGTTTATTACCGCCTCTCTTCGTGTTCTGTAGAGAATGTCATTGCACAGCTCGAACCTGTTCAACTCTCTCAGCAACAGGACTAGTCGGAAGTTCTTTCCTCAATGTGGAGGGGGTTTCTCCCACTCCCATCTGGGTAATAACATGTCTGATGCACCGATCAGATCTCTGGCTGTCTCTGAGATCTGCCGGTGACAGGTGGGAATGATGTGTAAGCCTCCCAATGTTTCTCCTGCTCAAAGCTGTCAGGTATAGCATCTCCAGAATGGCAAGACTTTCGACAAGGGTTATACCTGCATCATCACCCAAAGCTTCAGAGTGGTTGAATGATAAACAAACTGTCTCTCACAGATAGCATGAACAACGTCCTGATCGACTGAGTCAATATTGTCTGGATCTGACAGATGTTGTTTTGCGAACTGGCATATCGGTCTCTCCTTTTTGAGATGTAAGGTCATCAGGTAGCCTGCCATGAGGACGACGCGAGAGTCCATCGCAATCTCCATTTTGTTTTCCCAGAACGATACTGGAGTCTGAATTGAAGGTAGAGAGGGACGCCAACCCCTGTAACTGGTTGCATCGAGTTTTGCTGAGGTGAGGAGTAGGTCAGAGGTTTGAGTCTGTGACAACGGTGAACTGATTGCATAGAGGTAGTCACTCAGCTTCTCTGTACAGCCCACTTTAAAGCCAAAAACTCGAGCTTATGTGCTGGATAGCGGGACTCACTACTTGAAACCTCTACTCGCATAGGCGATAACCGCAGCTGTCCCTCCTGCTCCTGTAAAGGCTGCTCCAAGGCCGTAGTGCTCGCATCCGTATGAAGATGTAAGGCAGCTTTGGGTCAGCAAAGGCCAGGACTGGAGCGACGTTAGCTTGTCAATGATAGTCTCAAATGCTTTCTGGCATGCAGGGGTCCACCGTCCATAAAACGGCTCCTTTGGATCATGATACTGATTACTCCCTCCTTTGATTTGCAAGCTTCCTCAGTGGTGGATAACCGGACGTTAGATCGTTCAGCGGTTTCACAATACTTGAGTAGCCTTTAACAAACCGTCTGTAATATCCACAGAACCCAAGGAGGATCTCAGCTCCTTAAGGTTCTGAGGGACTGGCCAAGTTTAAGTGTGGCTGTCTTTTCTGTCAGTTTCTACTCCGTGTTGAGAAACAACATGCCCCAAGTACCGAACTGAGGACTGGAAGAACTTGCACTTCTCGGGGGACAGCTTTAAGCATACTCCTTTAAGCGTTCAAGGACTTTCATGAGTCTGGCTCATGCTCCTCAAGGGTTTTCGAGAAAACTATGAGATCATCCAGGAAAACAACAACTTCCTTCAGATTTATGTCTCCCATGCATCTCTCCATAAGCCTCTGAAAGTACTTGGCGCGTTTGTCACTCCCTGGCATACGGTTGACTCCAGAAACCAATGGACAGACAAAGGCAGTCTTGGGCTTGTCACTCTCTGCAACTCGATCTGATAATAGCCGGATTTAAGATCGAGTGTACTGAACCACTTGGAACCTGAGAGTGGCGGTGAAGGTGTCATCCAGTCTTGGAGGGCCGTATGCATCTTTCACTGTTTGTAAGTTTAACTTACGGTAGTCAACACACAGACGTACCTGACCGTTCTTCTTCCTGACCACAACAATTGGCGAAGAGAATGGGGACTCGCTCTGCGGATTACTCCAGTTGCGGAAGCTCTTGCAAATGCTTTCGACAGCCTCTATGTCGTGCGGGTGAATCGGTCGGGCTCTGTGTTTGAATGGTGTCTCATCTGATAGCTTAATGTGTGTTTGACCTTGTCCGTCCTCCAAAATCCAGATCAGTCTGGGCGAAGACCTCTGGCATACTGCTCAGCTTTTGAGTAATGCGGTCTTTCCAGTCAGAAGGATGGGAGAGTCGGCAAAGTCAAATGTCACACTAGAGGTCCTGATGTTCACACTCCTGATGGCTCACTCACAATTTTGTGAATAGACAGTCTGTATTGCACTGAGTTCTGCAATCACACTCTTTGCTGGGATGGTAATGTCATGCCTGACTCATTGGAAACTACTACAGGTAGCTTGCACAACTGGTTATTTGGCAAGTCAAGGAGACAGGTTTGCACCAAAAGCCCCCAGGCAGGGAAGATACTGAAGGATATTCCAACAGGGCAGATCTCTCAGTGTAAAATTCCTTGATTGATACTGTCCCCTCAAGAACGACTGTTTCCCAGCTGGGACGTTCACTTCATCCTTGCCACGCATCCTCACTAATCCAACGTTTCATCTGAACCTTGCTTTTGCCGCAACTCCAGTACTTTGAGTACGGTTCTGTACCCATAGAATGGGATGGTAGCCCTCTGGGTTGCCTCTCTGTACATTCATACACTACATCAAGAGTGTTTTGTTCCTATCAATACACAAACTTGTAATGTCCCGGTGTCTGGGACTATAGAGCTAGCGTTTTGACTCTAGTAGCACCAAAAGTCTTTAGGAAAGGTGATTCAATCTCAACATAACCCAGGTAAGGTACAAGCTGCCCATTGGCCCTTCAACCTCCAGAAGGTCATGTAGTGGCTCTATCTGTTGCTCAGACAAATACTGGTCATAGTAGGACTGGTGACAGTGGTCCTTGAGAACCTGTGTCAAGGAGACAACTGCACACCTTACCTTTGATCGTGACTGACCTGTACTCTTTGTGCTATGAGCCTCTTAGGTAGTCTGAAAGGTTGTTCTCCAACATGGGATGCTCAAAGTGGCCTGTGCTCTTGGTTTAGCTGACTTCCAGATTTAGCGGGACGATGTTGACCTGCTCAGTCCAGTTTGCCCCACAACGAGACTGCGTCTA